CATTTTGGGTGATTTTGACCAAATTTGGGCAATTTTGAACCAATTTGAAACCAATTTTGGCCAAATTTGAGCAATTTGGAGCCAATTTGAATCAATTTTGAACTCATTTTGAACAATTTTGGGCATTTTGGAGCAAATTTGGGCAATTTGGAGCGATTTTGAACCAATTTTGGGCAATTTTGAACAATTTTGATCCAATTTTGAACCATTTTGGGCAATTTTGACCAAATTTGGACAAATTTTCACCGATTTTGAACCAATTTGGAGCCATTTTTGGGGTGATTTTCACCCAAATTCCCCAAATTTCCCATCCCGGCCGACCAATGGGAGAGCCCGCAGCTGTGAGGGGGAAGTGACGTCATGGAGGGGGCGGGGCTCGGCGCGACCAAGCCACGCCCACCCCCGGAAAACGCCCAAATTTGGGCGGGTTTTGACCAAATTTGGACGTTTTGATCGAATTTGAGCAATTTTGACCCAATTTGAAACCGATTTTGAACCAATTTTGGCCAATTTTGAGCCAATTTGGTCAATTTTGAACCAATTTTGAACAATTTGGGGCATTTTGGAGCAAATTTGGGCAATTTGGAGCCACTTTGAACCGATTTTGTGCAATTTTGAACAATTTTTATCCAATTTTGAAACATTTGGGGCAACTTTGACCAAATTTGGGCAAATTTTCACCAATTTGGAAGCAATTTGGTGCCATTTTGGGGTGATTTTCACCCAAATTCCCCAAATTTCCCCAAATTCCCGTCCCCGCCGACCAATGGGAGAGCCTGCAGCTGGGGGGAGGAAGTGACGTCATCAAGGGGCGGGTCTTGGTGAGACCAAGCCACGCCCACCCCCGGAAATTCCAAATTTGGAAATTTTTTTTAACCCCTCCCCCACCGCCATCTTGGGCCATTTTTGCCCAATTTTGGTCGATTTTGCCCCAATTTTTTTTATTTTTGAATTTTTTTTTTTAACTCTTACCTGGGATAGGAGGAAGCCAAAGTCAGGAACGTGACCTCACCAAGCCCCGCCCCCGCACTGCCCAGAGCCACACCTAAGTGACCAAAGAGTGACCAAAGAGTGACCACAGTGACCATTGAGTGACCCCTGAGTGACCCTGAGTGACCCCTGAGTGACCCCTGAGTGACCCTGAGTGACCCC